TGTCTTTTGTAGTTTATGCTGCATAGAATAGAAGTAACTCCCTAAAGAATCATATAGTTGACCAACTTTGGTCTATTTTCTAGTGTTACTTCCTAAATGAAAGTTGTGTATTTATGAGTCTAGTTTTCATAAAGTTATGCTTCATGAGTAAATTCTACATATGCCAAATGTTAGGGCCTTTTTACTAAAGGGTGGTCAGCTGTGGTTAGGGCAAAAAGTTCACTCCTAGAGGATCAAGTGAATCGACCCATTTAGGTCGATAATTTCGTGTTTCCTCTTAAACAAAAGTTGTATAATTTTGAGTCTGAGAATAAGTCCCATAATTTAATATTGGATAAGTTTAAATTTATGTCTAAGTAAGCACACTATGCTCACTTTAGAAATCTAGAAAATTTAACGAGATTGGATCGTACTCTCGTCCCATCTTGATATAGTACATGTACATAAGTGAGATGCCAATTGATGTACCTGACACATCTTTGAGATGATCATTATTATGTATGGCATGCTTTTGATATGATATGTGTGTATAAGAAGCATGAATCTTGTCAATTAGTGATATACCTCTTGATAAAAATCTGTATGTAACATGCCACTAATTATTCATGATATGCATTTTATGTGATATGTGTATGATAATATGTTTCTAATATGATTATGATATGACACTCATTGCATGCTTTTGATAAGATGTGTGTGCATGGAGATATGTTTTTGCTATACGATATATATATGGTAACATGCTTTCAATAAGATATGTGTGTATAGAGACATGGTTTTGTTGTATGATCTATCTATGATAACATGCTTCTGATAGGATATGTGTGCATGGTAACATGTTTCTGATAAGATATGTGTGCATGGAGACATGCTTCTGTAATGTAATCTATACATGATAACATGCTTCTGATAAGATATGTGCTGGTGCGCATGGAGACATGCTTTTGTTATGATTTGATGAGATATTTGTGTCGGCAGCTGTGATTTCTCCCTGCTATCCATGATAGGATGAGAGTTAAGAGTGTGTGTATTTGGGTAGTCGCTCCCCCAAACTTATGTGAAGCACTACTCATTGGGACCCCTTTAGTAGTGTAGCGCCCTCTCGCCAGAATGGCACAGAGAGGGTCAGGTCTTGCAAGGCTAGTGCCTATTAATTTACCACATTGTAATGGGGTTGTCTACGTGTGTGAGGCACTATGCAAGGAACTTACTTGTTGGTGGTGTTTATCTCCTAGTTGTGATGGTAGATGTTCTACGCACCAAGATTTGATTGGCCCGATGGGTGGGGCTCCTACTTCAGGAGTTGGTTGGTATCCTTTGATTTGATTATGCTTGTTACATGTATGCCTAAATGTTTTAATCTGTTATGATGCTCATGTCTGAATGATTTGATCGACTTCTTATTACAATCATATTTGATTAATCTGATTAGTTATTACTCCACCATGAAATAAATCATGCATGATACATTTTGTTTAAATATGAATTTGACACATGATTCCATGTTTTGTAAGACTCGCATAAAACCCTGATTATTGACATGACAAGATAGTTGTAAGAATGACACCTAGATCTTATTTAATGGGCTTTACAACTCACTCTATTAATTTTTCTCTTATGTAAAGTGATAGCTAGCCGTGACTAGAGTGACGTATCCTGGTGGTCATGTTTGGGTCTCTTACCCCCCTTATATTGAAGCTTTATTTTGTAGTGTATATTTTGGTTGGTAGTCTGGCTATATAGTCCATTTTGATTTGGTAATACGTCTTGATGTTGGGCTTCTGTGCCTTGGACTTACATGCACTATTTTGGATTGTTTTATATATTTTGGGACTTGTTTGTCTAGCAGACTATGGTTATGTATATTGTGTTTTGTTTTTTGTTTTTTTTTGTGGCTAGCTTGATACCGAAAATTTCTCAGTTTTCAAGGTGTTGGGCGCACTCTAACCAATGTGGCACTCGCAACCTGTGGTCGTGGCCCCATGCCCTACGATTTTTCGACAGGCCCGGGCTTGGCCCTCTGCGGGTTCAGTGGAGACGGCAGGAGCAAGGTCGTGACACAAAGACATGAGGTGTAGAGAGAGAAAAAGGGTATAATAGGGAGAAAAAATGGGTGGATGAGAGACAAAGTATCAAAAGAGAGATGAGGTAAATAAAAGAGAAGGAAAGAGCATAGAAAAGCGACTCAAAATGGGTTATTTTTATTTTTATAATTTGTGTCAAAAGACTATATTACCCTTCTAGTTTAGTTTATAGAATAACTATCTAAGGGCATTGATGGGAAAAAGAACATTCACAAGTAATTTTAACTTTAACCTATACTATAGAGTAATATATATATATATATATATATATATATAAGGTTGCAACCTTAAAATGTAGAACTACAGATGCACCTCAAAAAACCATTGAAAAAATGTTGTTTTAATGTTGAAAAACCTTCTGATTGATCATCTAGATATCAAGATGTATGACTATGAAAAATAAATGGATTTTGAGTCTTAGAAATGGTGCATCTTACAACATATTATCTAGACTGTCTATTTTCAATATTTTCCTATGTTTATAGATCTACTTGATTTTGACTATTTTTGGAGTTTAAAATTTTATCATTGAAATAATAATAGATTTTGAGATAATCCTAAATATATTTTACACCTAAATTATATGTTATGATAAATTTTGAAGGTGCGCCTTAATTGGATTGTTGAAGGTTGCAACCTTATGGAAACCACACCCATATATATATATATACAATGAACATCCATATCGTGGTAGAGTTTATTCTTAACCGTCATTGTGACATAAGAGAAAAATAAATAAGGAATCATCTAATGTTTAGGAATATCGGACCATCTTAATTTGGTTCATTTTAAATACCATTTGGTATTAGAGATCTCGAGCTAGTCTATATGTAAAAAAAAAAAAAATCTAAGTATGGGTGGCTAGAAATTTTATAATATTGAACCTCCCTACAATGGGCGGTCTAGTATTTTGAGCATCAGATTCACAAAAATAGAATGGATTGTATACGATGAGACCACTTGCTTTTGTTACAAATATGTCATAATTACTTCTAGCTGTTAAATGGTAAATATAAAACTTGGGATGTGTCACAAAATTCAACAAATTTTGTTTCTTAGTTTTGAGGCCATCAATGACACACTTACAACCACCAAATTTGAAATATGAAAGACAAAAAATAATAGTGACCTTCATGTATCAAAAGTAAATAGTATCTTTATATAGTTTTCCAAAATAAAAAGTGATTTACCAGGGACTAGATTAAGAAAATAATAAAAATCGAGAACCTCAATTTCATTATCATAGCCATTTCTCAATTATATGGGATCGGCTACACGAATCCTGGTCCGCCAGACTGCTCTATTAAATGCCATAGAGTAAAGCTGATCTCACAGTTGTGATATAGAACTTGCGCTTAGCTTTGTTGGTATGCTGTGATTACATAAAATTGCAGTTGCACAGCTCCACTTCGCCACCCAGCTCTAATTTTGTGTGTGATATTTTCCTCAATCTCTCTATTTTCTTAAAGTATTGACCCAAGGTATCGAAAGTGCAGTCTTTTTCGTACTTATTGGCCATCAATTTTAACTACTTCATCGTTTCTACTCCTATTATTATCAAACTTGCATTCCATATACTTTACCTTAGTTAAAATTCTAAAACCCTTGGATTCTAAAGCATCCCTCCAAAGTTTTACCTTTGTGTTGACGTTGTTTTAGGTCTCATCGATCAAAACTTTTGCAAACAGCATGCACCACGATATCTCATTCTGCAGGTGCCTAGTTAGGTCGTCCATAATTAAAACAAAAGAGGTACGGGCTCAATGCTGACCCTTGATGTAGACATATTATCACTGAAAACTCACTCGTCTCCACTAATTGTTCGTATACTAGTTGGCGCTTTATTGTACATATCTCTCATCAAGTCGATATAGTGTCTGGAGACTCATTTCTTTTCCGCTAAATCAAATCTCGAGGCACTCTACTATAAGCTTTCTCTAGATCAATAAAGACTATATAGAGGTCTTTTCCCTTCGTCCTAAACTTCTCAATCAGTTGTCTAAGTAGAAAAATAGCTTTGGTCGTTGATCTTCTTGACATAAAACCAAATTCGTTTTCAAATACATCTAGAGCCTCAATTTCATAAAAATTAACCAAATTGGTTTTCAAATACATCTAAAACCTCAATTTCATAAAAAACAAATGAAAATTTCTTTAATAGCACATATTTTATGCTCCCTCATGGAGCATACTTTACTTCTACTCCCTCAGTCTGACGACCTATTTGGGAGGATTTTATTTATTTCGAATTTTAACCGCGTTAAAATAACTAGATGATTGTTTAAAAAAGAAAATAATTCAAATTTTAATTTTCTAACACTTAGATTTCACACGTTAAAAATTGGATGGTTTGTATTCAATCTTGAGATATTGTTGTTTAAGTATTTCGAGTGTAAAATTAGGATATTTTTTTATTAAAATTACGGGGTCCTTTCGTGAATGCAATTAGGATGATTTTTTTATTAAGATTAGTCTACGTGCTAAAGAGGTTATATCCCCAAAATTTAAGATTGTAAAACTAATTCTAATTCTAGGTGGGATTGTACCGAAATAGAGAACATACTCCTAGGGAATAGAATATCTTTTGGCTTTTGCATCCCAATGGTGACCATTGAAAGGAACCGGTTTCAGCTTTTGCCATTTTAACACATAGACGTATCTTAATAAACAAAAACTTGGTTTCTATGCCCGCATGCTTAGAAATGCGGATTTTTTAATAAATCTAGTTTGGATATGGTTTTTAAGACTTAATTTTTATGAATGTGTAATCTCTAACATAAACGTTATGAATATGAAAGAATAAATAAATTTTAAAAATTAAAAATAATAATTATAATAAGAAAATATTTAAACCGTTAGTTTCGATTGTTTTTAGATGTAGAAATGCGGTCCGGACCGCATAATATAATTTTGCCCATTGAAATATGCGCATGCCCAGATCACTGTGTGAGCCAAAAGAAAGCTACTGTGTGCGAGAGAGAAGTTCAGGGGTCAGAAATTTGCAGAGAGGCCATGGCTTCCTGCTCGCTGCTTTTCTCTCTAGGTTTCACAACAACGAAACCCAAATCCTTGTTTTTGAACCGCCGCACTATCACCAAATTCAGCCCCAACAGCAAGTGTTTGTCTACCAAGAAAACCCCAACAAGCTTTCAGACTTCCATTAAATCTTTTCACAGAGATCAAGCTCAGCCTCACCCAACAAAACCCAATTTGAGCATGCAGGATTTATTTAGTTTTGCAACCAGTCTTTACCCCGTTTATGTTACAGTCGGTGGTGTTATTGCCTGCGTGAAACCTTCCGCCTTTTCATGGTTTGTACGGAGAGGGCCTGCTTCGTATAGCTTCTCCTTGGGCTTCATTATGTTAGCCATGGGCTTGACTCTTGAGCTCAGTGACTTCGTCTGTCTCTTTATGCAAAGGCCCTTATCGGTGAGTAACTCTGCCGTAGAAAAAAAAAAAAAAAAAAAACAAAAAATCCGTTCTTGAATTTATTTTCTAATGTATGTCTTTTGGATAATTGGGACTTTCATAATTTTGGTATTGTTAAAGTTCCTGCTAGTGTGTGATTCGCTTGAAAAATTCTCTCTTTATTTTTAACTTTTTAACAGATGGCCAATTTTTTGTGTTATTTATGGTATGGCATTCATTCATTGCTTTCTTTTTTTTGTTCTTATTTTTTGCCATATTTTAGTATAACTTCTGAAATTATATTCTTTGGTGGTTTTGGTTTTTTTAATTGTTGTTTGGGGCCCTTTAGAAATGGATTTAATGGCTGCAATTATAATAAAAATCTTTTGCTTTTTTTTTTTTGTCTTTTGTTTTCAATGATACTGATTTTTACTTCAGTATAAATCATGTTATATTTGTTATTCTAAGATTTCCTATTGTTTTTTCTTAATCTTTTGTATATGCTGTTATTGGGAAGTGATATGTTGGAGTTGGTTTTGATGTGTTATTATCTTTGTCATTGGATCTAGATACTGTTTGGTTGCATTGCACAATACTCAATTATGCCCAGCTTTGGGGCACTTATTGCTAAATCCATGGGGCTTTCACCTGCTCTATCTGTGGGTCTGATTTTGCTCTCATGTTGCCCTGGGGGAACTGCATCTAATGTGGTAAAACACCTCTACTCTTTGTGATTTATTTAAACGCATTTTCTGTTATTTTTTATCTTTTTTTATTGAAATTTCTTGGATTTGTTATTCTCTAGATGGAATTTCTCTTTACAAACGAGAAATTCACTTTGGTTACATAGGTTTATGATTCTATTTTTAGAAATGAATAACTGTACCATGAGATTTTACTCTTGGAGTTCCATATTCACAGCATACTCTAGAATCAGTCATTGTAAAGAGATAACATATCGAAGTTCCACTCATTCAGTATGGTACTGCACACACAAAGTATGAATAATGACATTTTTATAAATTTAGTTTTTTCCTTTAATGAAAGAATCAAATGTTAGTTCCATATTAAAATTTATGTGGTTTGAATTGAAATATTTTCTTTGAAGCAACTTTCATATACGTACTGTTTGCTTTTCTATTTTGCAATCACGTTTTAATCCAAAGGAATGCTATATTGCAAATCATGAGGAGCATCATATGGGGTATCAGATTTCAATCCCATTGGTGTCTAATTATTATCCAAAAAGAGTTATTTTTTTTTTTAATTTGAATGTTAAATTGGGACCTTGGTAGGGATAGAGCTCTAGACATCATTATGAGGCACCCCAACACTCTTGATGCCAGACCTAGAGGCCATTCCTTGAACGAAAGAGCATTTAATCATTTCAGAGGACATAATATCTGCATTTGTCAAAAAAAGATATAATCGGCATATTGAATGTGTGGCAATATGGACATGATCCTATATTGCTCTAGGAAATTTTGATGTGGATTGAGACCATTACCTTTTGTGTCCAAAGGTCACAAACACTCAAAGCCATTTGAATGTAAAAGTGAATGGGGTGCATCAATTCTCTGCACAAAGTTCAAAAAAGAATTTCCCAGACTTTTGAGAGCATTCAGTATTACCTCCAGCCCTTGATTTTACATCCAACAGTTGGTGGTGATTGGCTTTTTTTACAAGAGACAAATGGTCTTGTTGTATAATTTCCCTTCTCAGGTTGAAGGGCCTTTTTTGTTTGCAGTGTCCCAGTTAGGATTTTATCAGAGAGTGGGTCACCATTAGGAATTCTTAGATTATATGGCATTCTTTACCTCTCATTTTGTTACTTTGTAAATGTGCTCCAAGATTCTTTACATTTGCAGTTATCTGTTTCTGCAAAATAGTAGTACAGGTGACTTTGATTGCTCAAGGGGATGTGCCATTATCGGTCATGATGACAGTTTGTACCACTCTGGGTGCAGCCCTACTCACTCCTCTCTTGACCAAGGTTTTGGCTGGGGCCGTAATACCTATAGATGCAGCTAAGCTGTCCATTAGCACTATACAGGTGAAATAGAACTTTTTAAATGTCTTTTCTTTCTTTTATTATGAAAAATGGTATTGAAAACAAACTCTTCAGTATCTTTTCTCACTCATTAAAAATGGGAAGTTATAAAATGAGATGATTTACTTCTCCTATGGAAAAGTAACAACTTGACAAGCCATAAGATATGAAAACTGTGGCTGGGTGTATCATTGACTGCGCTCAAAATCCAAAACAACTTTCCCTGGACTTCAAGCAGAGGAATGACACACCCCATCCATCTGTTTTCACATGTTGTGATCCCTATAAGAAGCGGTTTCTTTCCAACCTGATACCTTATCATGCACCACATTCTTCTCTCTATGTTAGGCTGTTGTTCTACCCATTCTTCTCGGTTCCTCTCTGCAGAGGATTTTTCCAGAGTTTGTGAAAGTTGTTGTACCTTTTTGCCCTCTTCTCGCAGTGTTGGTTTCATCCTTGCTTGCAAGCAGGTTTGTCACATTGTTGTTTATTATATACTGTTCGTGTGTTCGTGAACCTTTTTCGCCCTCATTTTTTATTTTCTTTATCTTGTTCGCATTTTCTTTTTTCTTTTTAATAGTGTGTTCTCAGAAAATGTCATTCGACTCGGACCCTCGATACTTGGTGCGAAACAAGGCATAGATTCATCTCTGCCATCAGGAATCCATAATATCTTATCAGGAGAACTGGCGCATGTGATGTGGTCTGTTTTGTTGCTGCATTTTGCAGGTTTCTTTGTGGGGTATGTTTCTATCTCTTGTATTGCTCCTCATGGGTGATTGTGAGCTTGTAACATGTAAAGAAATATTTAGATCTATGATCAAAGTTTCTACCAAAACATCTCCCTGTGGGAACTAGAAGAATCTCACTATTCCTTAGAAGTTCATATAATGTATTCTTGGGTGGAAGAAAAGCTCTACTGAAATTGAATCATAGAAAAAAACGAAATGGGAGAAAGGAAATGGGAGGAAGTTTATTTGGATGCAGGGTCTACGGCAAAATGCAAATCATGAAGTTAGTGTGATGAAGGTTTTGTATGATTATGAATGTTAGCATCCTAGAGACTGTTTATATCTACACAGGATACAAATGGGTACTATAACTTTCACACCCTAAAATTTATAGGTTTGGGGCTTCTGTGCAGGAACCTAGCATCAAGCATATGCAGGTTCAGAGAACCAGAGCGCCGAGCAATTTCAATTGAGGTAATGCGGAAAATCTCTCTCTCTCTCTCTCTCTCACACACACACACACACACATATGGAACTGAGTGTAGGTATTTCCCTCATGGAACTCTGTTTTCTATCTGTTGATGAAACTCAGTGTACCTGAATGGACAGGTTGGGATGCAAAATTCGGCTTTGGGGGTTGTTTTGGCGACCTCCCATTTTACATCCCCCCTTGTTGCTTTACCTTCAGCACTATCTGCTGTGATTATGAATGTAATGGGGAGCAGTCTGGGACTCATTTGGAGACATGTTGATCTCGAGGTCACTGAAGAAGATGAAAAAGCATAAACCAGAAATGGCATTTCTCACATTTAGGTTTTTTTGTGACATTTTCTACTGCAAAATCTATTCAAATATTGGAATGACAGTTATGTCTTTATTGTCTGCACATTTGCAACTGAAAATTATCAATCAAGGGATATCTCTGTCCTACTCAGGTTAAGTTCTTCAACCGTTGAAAACCAAGTATTTCATTCTTCCACCCAAAACAGAAAATCATGTCATATAAAGAAAAACAAACATTCAAATGCACTTTATAATATTGCCAGCATCCCGTTTTTCCATTATCCAAATACTCAATTCTGCATTCGAAGCATATATTTATTACTTGAGTATATCTACTCTTATTGATTTCAAGAACTTGAATTATGTCTTTGAAGGCATTTTAAGAACTCAAATCAGTCTTGAAGGCGACGTTTTTCATAGTGCAGTATCATCACTAGTTCCGTTGAACTGGATTCAGAGTTGAATGAGGTTGTTGCATTCATTGACAGGATTGACCTTGGAACCCAAATCATATCTCGAACATATTTTACTGTATGTAAATTTGACAGTTTTTGTCCTTGACAGAAAATATCGATCTGCAACATGTACAAATGTAAAACCTGATTAGGCTAAAAAGTGCAAAGGTAGTAAAACGTTTGACAATTTCCTAAGCCTTCAAATTTATCTTGGAAACCAAATTTTAAAGCAAGTAAATCTTAGTTTGTCTTTTACACTTTTAAGCATGGACATGGTATCAGATATTGTAGTCGAATGATAAGAAAATCGAAAGCAATTTAGTAATTCTAAAGAAAACAAGTCTCCTTGTTCATGATTTGGTTACCAACTGTTTCATATGATCCCTGTTCATGAAGCGAAGGTAATTCAGGACTCCTGTAGCACCGAGCAATGGCTTCTGAATAAATAATTTACGGTTATAAGCGTAGTCCAGCAACAGAGTTTTTGCCGAAATATCAAATAAGAGAAAAAAATCAATTATTCTATTTCTCTATTTCTTTTTCTATTTGTTTTTATTGATGAAATTGAGAAATGGGGGTCTCTAAAGCACACCTAAAACTTTCCAAAGGACCAAGCACTGAGGAGCACAGAGGGGACAACTATTCCACTATAGCCCATGGTACTCAGGATGCCTTTCATAATAGTAAAGTGCTTGGATGCTTTCTAAGGTCACAGCCATCTTAAACCCAGAAGGCCCAGAATGTCCAAGCATCAGCTCCGTAAGACATGTTTGGCTCTAGTCCTAATGTGTTAATGTATTTCGACATGAGAATGTGGTCGAAATAATCTTAGTGTATTTCGACATGAGAATGTGGTCGAAATAATCTGATATCCGATGAGGCTAAGATGCTATAGCCTTCATAGCACCATGTTGTTGACATCTCTTATGTATAGAATGAGCGTTCACCAATTTGCTTAACCTTAGTTTGTGGGAGCATATTAGCCTGTGTCTCTTCTTCCCTGGTTTCCTTTGTCTAAAACCCCATGAAAACAAACGGAACTAAAGAAACTTATATTAAATGAATGACCCCCAAGACATGCATTCTGACACTGATTTCAGATATTGAAAGGCAAATAACGAACTGAAATCGATCTTTATAGAGTCTTTACTAGCAATTGAATTCTAAATCTGAATTGTTTTACTGGTATCTGGTTAGGAAACAGTGAGATCAGATGTCAACATCCAAAATTTCCAAAAGCATGTCAAGTTCAATGACCACCCAAAAAAAAAAAAAAAACCAAAGAAGTCGAGTGAAATGAAGGGGGTTTTAGAGAGTGAAAAGCATGGGTTGATGACATTCCAAAAGGTACGAAATGGGTCCAGCAATTTGTAACTGTTAAATGAAATTAAGGGGCATGTAAAAGAGGTTGAGCAAATTTATCAAAATAACTGGATAAATACTATAAGACAATACGAGAAGCTCGCTACGTTAATGTTTTTCTGCAGATCAATGAAGTTGATTTCAAGAGTTATAGAATCAGGTGCACGTCCCATTTCCAGAAAGCATGGAGATATTTGAAAACAACGATACTCAGGTCAATGGTTTTCTCAGAAGATATTCAGATACATGAAGAACGCAATGCACTGTTTTCCTCATCCTCAGAACCATGAACATAGCATGAAAACATTGCATGCTAAATTCATGCCATACTGAACCATATAAAATCATAAGAATATAAAAAACTATGCACATAGTATCAGAGGGTGGCATCACCATTCAGTCTTAGCGGAAGAGAATTTACGGAGCGTTTGTTTGCCATACCAAAGTATTTTCCATGGACAAGGGAAATCATCAGTTGAATCTCCAAATCAAATATATCAAATTAGAGATGACTCTAGTTCCTTCTCAAAATACAGGGGATTGTTCACCCCAAAAACTTTAACTAGGGAAAGGTGAGCAACTGGAAGTGGCTCTCTCTGGCCTTCCCTTTCTTGTAGAGCTCATTCAGGAAGAGACAAAATTGCTATCCAATGCATTCCATTGAAAGTAGACATTAGCAACGAAGTTCGTAGTAGCAGTGTGTCATTCTTTAAAGTCCCTCTTCACTGCACAAAGGTTCCAGGATAATTTCCTGGTTTCTACACAGTGTTTTCAATTCAAGCACAAACTCGAAAGGTCGAGAAAGAGGAAATAATAGGGCCCAATGGTCATGTAGCTACAAGTCTAAAGCTATTGAGTCCATTCAATACCAACAAATGGTTTCTGGATCCTCAACTATTTCTACCCTCTTGCAATTTAATAGCTTTTGCCTTGTACTCGAAAGACGTGTCCTATATCTAGTGTTTCTAGTTAGCTTTCATCTTCTTGGTTATTGATTCTGGTAGAACATCAAAGTAATTCCAAAATATCTACTACTGTTGATCATCGCTCATTCTATTTTAGGATTGCTAATGTAGTCATGCATTCCAAAGACCTAGAACCTAGCTCCTCTTCCCCCATGGAATTCATTATCAGTGGAAGCCGAAAATGTGTGTTGCTTCACTTGAAAGCTAAAATACTCCTGTTCGTCAGGGCTTCATGCATATTATGGCGTTGAACATGAGGAGAACTTTGTCCTTGTTTCCATGACCACCACCATCCAAATCAGGTCTGCTACTCCGGTCTTTTGACAATGGCATTGTATCGACTCATATGAATAATATATTCTTTTATGATGACCCTTCAAGAAGAGGCGTCTGTGCAACTACCATTGGCCTCGGTTCTCTAGGATTACCTTTATTATCAGAAAGATCAAGGCACTCATGGACTTGACTAAATACCTCATCTATGACTTCTAATTCGACGTAGTAGTGACGATTCATCTATATTTATCAGCATTTCATATGACAGATAACTTACTCTTCTTTAACGTGGATGCCGCATCCATTATTGAAGATGATCATATTACAACTGGCGCTGTTGAGCTTCAACTACAATGTTGTTTGAGATTGAAGGTTCAGTCCACTCTGTGTTTCTTGAATAATGAAGTTTCCTTCTTAGTGACTATGTTGCTCTCTACATGAGCCATTATTTATTCTCTCTCTTAAATATTGAGTAGATGACAGAGTTTCGACTCCGAGATGTACTTGATAAAGACAACTGGAGAATGAATCCATTTACCATCACTACAAATGATATTGTTTATGTTGTCAATCTATTGAGTGAGTCTAAAGCAGGATACCAACTCTTGAATGTTATTTGGCCTCCATCAAAATATTTTCGATGTCAGTCTCACATCTAATTGTAACCCACGACACCTGTTGTAATCTCAACCAATGTTAGTTGCTTATTTGGCTGTTGATTGGGTTGGTTGCGCTGTTGATAGTTCCTGAATCACTAACATCGGTGTAAGGAAAATCCTGGATATATCGAAAAAGTAGAAAAAAACGTCGGCCTCTAAGTCAATGCTAAAGCACAATATCATGCGCTATGAGGTTGTCTGGCTTCCTGGACGTAATCTCATAAGTGACTTTTGAATTTCTTATTTCACTTTTAAGTCATAAATCAAAATATAGAAATTAAAATTGGTTTCTATTGATCTGAACATAAGAAATGCACCAATATTACATGATCCATACTAACGGATCGATTTGGTTGGACAGACCATTTATCAAATTGGTTGAGTCGCTTGCCTATTTAGAAGTCTAGAAGGAAGTAGCTTCGTCCGATCCACTATTCAAGGGTGCCTGGGCCTATCTACACCTTTCTTTCTAAGAAAAGATTGCCAAATCACTCGTATCCCTATGAATAACACTTGCTTTCACTTATTTCATAGTAAACCTTCCTCAATTAATTGTTGAAACTGTCCAAATGTGGCCGATATTCATAATTCGAAGGAACTTCTAATCATTAAATGAAAATAAGTACATCTATATATGTAACATTTTCATGTTATATCGAACACATAAAACTATGCATAATTCTAGGAAATTTGATTCATGCAGTACTGGTAACTTTGTTTGTGTGTGTGTGTGTATGCCTAACACAATATGCAAAAAACCTCACCCATCCGTCAAGAAAGGACAATCTATCATGCACTTGCGCAATGCACTTGCAGAAGTCACAAACTTGTGTAGTGAACTTGTGCCACCATGGCACATAAACATTTATTTTATAAATAGAATGTCACTGGAAATGAGAATCAGTAGCAATATTGGGGATTAGACTCAACTGGCTTAGCTACAAAGAGTTAAATCAAAAGGGAATAATGTTTCCATTTAGTAATTTTATATAGAACACCAAACTTTGTAATGTAAATGAAATTGGACAGAAAAAACAACTTTTAGATGCTCATGATTTATGATGACTCAGGTAATGCCAAGCTGTGGACTGGAGTTTGATTTTTAACTTTTGTATGATTTTCATTTCAATTATTTTGGTTGAAAAGAATATTGGGGACAAGACCCACAGAGTCGAGTTGAGTTATGAATTAGGTAAGCAACTCATCAAGTTATAAAAACTTGAGTCTCAAACTCAATTTTCCCAACCATTCACTTGACTTGACACACCATTTGGATAAGCATTCATCATATCTTGATGGGAACGCCTTGGTAACTTACATAAAGATGCATACAAGGAAAGAGTCTCATAACTGCATCACAAGGCAAAGCCACACAAAAATAACTATATTTAAAGCAATGTCCCTCCCAAATCAAAATCACTACATGATTCAACTGATTCAAGAGCTAGTTGTAAGACTCGATACTCATACATTGTGTCAGTTGATTACTTGACTCGTTGCATTGCAAATGCGACTCGATAACTCTAGACTCAAGAAGGGATCGGTCTGTTTCGCACAGTCTTGGGTGAACCCATGGACTCTCATGTAATTAAAACTATACATCAACTAATCCCTTGTAAACTATGCTCCAATGGAAGGACAACATTGATAAGAAGGGCAGATAATTTAGTTGTCGATTTATCGGAAAGCATTGTGCAAAGATGAACAATATAAATGTGTTAGTGAGGCTCATAACATGTATGACAAGTGCCCCAACAGCTGGACTTCATTCTAGAGACAGGTTTTTGCAGGCTTGAGAGCAGATGCAAGAAGAGAATGGTGACAGATACAGGTAGGAAATCTTAGAAAGGAAGCATGAGCTCCTCGAATGTTCAAAACAAGTTTGTTGAATATGATTTAACTGAAGCCATATGGGGAATCAGAAGTCTCATTCATTAAACTACAAGACAGCTGCCCTATTTCCACTAATGGTTCATGAAGTAATTTTTAGGCCCACTGAACTTTACCAAGTTTAATTTCACAAAGGACTGCCAAAGAGAGACCATAAACATATGTTATATCATAGTTTCAAATACATTTAAAAGCAAATAAACTACAAGTCACACTCTAAAATAATTAAACCAAGCTCAATAATATGATTTTATGTGAAGAATGTCTTGTTTGTAAGGACAATCAATGCTTGGCACTAGTTTGTGAGGATCCTATATTCATTGGTACAAATTATACGAGAATCCAACTATGACAAACACACTAGGACCCTTTTTTTTTTTTTGGTGAAATGTGATAAATGGACTTCATCTTTTCATCATGAAACATAGTTATTGGGGTTACACACACCGACATGAACGCCTAGGGTTCCAATTCTATCACTTATTCAACTCCCACCCTCCACAACCCAAAAAAAAAAAAAACGTAAAACAGAAAAGAAGGGAGAAAAAGAAAAAAGGAAAAAAGTGCCATGAAAATTGCAGATATTTTAAGCTGAACCCACGTAAGCAAGCAACCCATAACGTGAAGAAGTGGTTTCATGGGTTCGAAAATGAGATATTAAAAGCCTTGTTACTTTTATGGTAATACGAGGATATCAGGAAACTAAGCACGTAGAAAGCAGGCTCAGAGAGTACCTAACAAACAGTAAACTATTAATACTTGTAAACAAAGTCAAGCCATGAAAGTTAGGAAAGTTGGTGGTCTCATGAGGTCCAATAAATGTGTTACTAAAACAACTCTTGTTTGTTCACAAACCCATCACCTAACCAGTCAATTCAGATAGAGACTAGCAACATTTTTATACAAAAAAAGCCAAACAAATAAAAAAAAACACACAGTATTATCCATGAAAATAAAGTATCAGGAAAAGAGGAAAAGGACATATCCAAACCAATTTAAATTAACAATCCAAAAGGCTAATAAACCACCAATTTAAATCCATGATTTATAATTTTATTGCCTCGTACCCCACAAAGCTCTTGGACTCTCACTACCCAAACACCTCAAAACAAAGGCATTGGCGCCTTCATATGCAAGCCACCGAAAAAATAAAATTGCAATATTTTTTAAGGGCATGTTTGTTACGCATAGAAATACTTATCTGAAAGTGTTTTTATGCAATTTTTTATTTTTAAGCTGATTAAATACGGGAGTTTTTTTTACATCAATTGGATTTAAATTGATGTGAAAAGACACCCACCCCTAGTCATGTAGTAGAGGTTTTTCATGTCCATACATTTCGACAGATGACATAGTTTGTGATCGAAATTGTCGGCAATTGAGAGAGAGAGAGTGTGTTTTTTGAATGTTTAGAGAGAGAGTTATGAAGATGAGTTACAGAGAGAGAAGCACTCACTTCTTCCGTGCTGCTCAGGCCGAGCTTCTGCACCACATACAACTTCACTAAATGGATGGTCAAGCTTCCACCACTGCACAAAAGTAGCGTGTATAACTCACTCAACACCATCCACCACCCTCAACAAAATCAACCATACACACATTTTGACCGAGTTCAAAAACCATACACAACAACGAAAGATACACATACTTCACCCTGATATAAGTCCTAGGCACCTGTGGCAGCTCCTCCTCGCCCCCCCTAAAAAAAAACAATGTAAAAAATAACATAAAAAAGTAAAAAAAAAAAAAACATGGAACTCTCATGTCATGATTACTCAAAGGAATTTCAAAGGAAAACACCATGATTGTTGTGGACCTCTCACCCTTTATTGGACGGCATAAGTGAGAACCAGACCCCCACCTCGGGCCTATGCTCGACGCGTCGGCCCCGGCGCGACCGAGCCGCAGTAGCTCGTGGTCGTAGCCAACCGGGGTGGAGCCATGGCCTGCTGGGGTCGACCCCATGAGCCTCTTGGTTCGGGTCGTAGGGTTCGCCACCATCATTTCCATTGCTGTCAGGTGCAGTCTGAAAAAGGTTGAGGGTGGTCACACCATCAATTGTATCATAGTTTTGGTCATGGTTTTCATCATTAGCCTCAACAAAACCAGGCACGCCCTGAGTAAAGCTGGGGGGCTCCTCATCATTATTGTTATTGAGCCTCGTGCTGGGTGCGAGCCCCAGCTGGAGCCAGTCCGAGTCCACATGATCGTCCTCCATCGAGCCCACCTCGAGCCCACTTGGCTGGACGGGCATCGATACATTTGTGTCCTTTCCGTCCATTGGAGATGGTTTGAGCTTCTGGTTTCGGACTTAGGGTTGCGGGTAACGGAGGGAGTGAGAAAGCACCTGGAATGGTCGTTTAGGGTTTTCTTAGTAAAGGAAATGGGGCTTTATGGATAAAGGGCGTGGGCCTTTTTGTGAATGATATGATGTAGCTTTTCTGAGAGCTCTTGGGATGAGCGCCTAGAGAGAGAAACAGAAAGCTTAATTCTCTCTCTCTAATTCTCTGGTAGTCTTTATGCACAGAAACAAACGCGCACCGGGCGAACAGAGATTTCCCCTCGCTCCACCTGCAAATAATCGTTTCTGTAAACATTCTCTCTCCAAGTTTTCGCTCTCTGTGCGTAATCCTCTATGTTCTTTCTCTCTCAGACATGGCGTTTGCAGAGAAAGAAGCGAGTAGCCCCACCTAGAGAGAATGTCTTAAAGTTCTGAACTTCACATCTCTCTCGAGATAAAAATCCTACTCTCTGCATATACTATTAACAGAGAATCGATTGAATATATTATTTTTTTTCTGTGTTTTTTTCGCAGTTTTGGAAAGAGAAAAAGGTAGTTAGGAGGAAAGAGAGGGGAGAATGTGCAGTGCCCTAACGTTTCCACCTTCCTGAACCCTTTTTTGTTGTTAGGTCCGTTGGATATGTTTTGGCGGTTGCTACGTTAAAGAGAAAATTGGGGACTTTGCAACTGCTCTATTTTCCAACTTCAACGACGTTGCAGTTACCAACTGTTACTTCCAATTTTTTTCAGACTCGTCCCGGGTAGGAGGCCCAAGTAATACACGGGGTAGTTATGAACATCATGGTCACCACTAATCGGTGCCTTAGCTGACCCGGTAAGATTTGTACATTTAACTGATTTTAGCCCATCCATTAATTTTAACTGGTTAGACTGATTAATAAAACGAAAACTGTTTTTTTTAGTTTTATTTATTTATTTTTTATCTTTAAAACCAGTCTGTCAAACCGGTTGTTTGCTGGTTAGTCCAATCTTCATAACACTAATATATAACGCTAAAAAAACCCTAATAAGAAATTTCAGAAAAAAAAGTTAAAAATAATATAAAGATTTTAGTGGAATATAATTAAAAAACAAAATGAAGCCAACAAATATAAGAAAATAGATTTAAAAACAAATTGATTTACCTTCAAAAAATTTGAAAAAAAGAAAATGCATAATTGAGGCATTTGACAATTAAAACTAACAAATCATTGTGAAATACATCCAAATTACGTTTGTGATTTTTATGAGCAAATTTATATAATTTTTATTTATTTTTAAATATATATACCAGAGTTGTATATAGTTACTTGGCTTGGCCAGGACTGAGTTTGATTAACTCCGCTGAGTAGTCACACACTGGTTACATCCATGGAAAATGACTCTCTCTCAACCACTTCATCCTTCAAACTTTTTAAAGCCTTAGCTGCTCACCTGCCAAATGAGTTTAGGTAATACAGACTTATCTGTGTGGATATCATAGTTATCAAGATCTGACTTTGAATCAGTCATAGGTCTAGTCCAGTCAAAACTAATTGGTGAATCATATTTCAAAAAAATATATAAAGAAAATAAAAATGGCATTTTGAAATATATAATGTATTAGTAAAAAATTCTCAACTTTATTTAACCAGTGAAAAAACCAGTCCAATATTGATTTTGATCAATTTCTAACGATATTATATTTTTAAAGTTCTGCTTTAGATTAAAACAACCAGGGCACCGGTGGGTGGTAGTTCAGTTCAGTATGTCCATATCGGTTATGGATACAACTAAAACTAAAATATAAAAAAATAGGGAATATGATGATTCCATGATGATTGTAGGGTTTCCAAGAATGAGATCTGACCCCGAAGATTCCAAGAGCCAGATCGACCCTAGATGATTGCCGGGTTTCCAAGAACTACATTGAGCCTGGTTCCCAAGAACCGGATCGGCACCCACAGGTTCAGGCAGTTCAGTTCAAACTGAGAGTTTCAAAACGCCATTACTCACACTATTATTTGATTCTAGGCCCTCTCTCTCTTTTTCTCTCTGTCTCAATCCGTAATAAAAAACACTACATCAGTTCCTTGCATTCATTCTTCAATGAAATTTCAACCATGCAAAGTGAATAGATGTCTTTTTTTATTTCTAATGTGAAGATCTCTTATCACTACAGATCCTTAGATATGGAAGTGGTGAGCCATTGGCAATCACTGTCACCTCCTTGGTAGAGTTTTCAAGAATTTAGCCCACCATTAACAGGCTTTTCAAACCCTAAGATGCAGCAATCTGAGTTTACAACTCCAAAATCAGAAAACTGCTTTTGTAATTATTTTTTGATGAAACCAAAATTAGAAACTGTTCATCCCAAAATTTTATCAGAAAGCCTAACCCTTATGATCTAGAAGAAAGGCTAGACTGAAAGGCATAAACCTTGTCTCTCTCGGTAACCATGAAAAGTTCGCATTGAAAGCTTCTCGGACTAGATCGCAACTGTTACATCCCTGTAAACCCTAAAAATCATGTCAAACTATCTCCAAATTTGCAGTAAACCAAAGGAATCATCTTAGATCAATCTTAAAGCCTAGAGATCATTACTGTAAACCTGAAAGATCATTTGAACCTAAAGATAACACTACAAACCCTATAGAGCATGAACATTGTCAACAAAAAAAAAGAAAAAAGGAAAAAACAAAACTAGAGATCATCTTCTTATACCCAGAATATTATCTGTCCTATATATAACACTGTAAATGTTAGAGATATATCACTGAAAACCCTAAAAATCAGCCGAACCTATAGTTAACACGACAAAACCCTAAAAATCATCTGAAATTTAGAGATCTAACATCCCCAACCCTCATCGGTTACAAAACATACAAAGCAAGGACAAATACTCCTGTTTCAGTACTTCAAAACCCTAAAAGCACTGTACATGCATTCCTTTTCCAATACCTTTGGGTTTATAGAAAGGGCCCGTGACCCAATAATTTCTAGTTCCTTCCAAACTCAAAAAAGGTCAAAAGTCACATAAAATAATATTATGAGCAAGACGTAATGAATAGTTGAAGAAAATTGTTACCTACGTCCCATCCATGTCTTCTTGTTGCAGTCAATCTTTTGGATATATATTCCAAAGTCAAGTCATGGAAATAAGTAATATAAATAATTACTTAAAAAAAGAAGCACTGTAACAAATCACAAGGCAAGAGAAATCATGGCAAAAGAATCAAGTTTCTTAGAAGAGAGATGGGAGAGAAATAGCTTAAAAATGAGAGGGGGACTACCATGAAAAACTTATAGATAGTTAATGGATTACCATTCAATAAAAAAATAAACGGTTCTGATTCTCTGGTCTCAGAAAACAACAGCTGGTGGTGAAAGTCTGAGAGAATCACATGCAGGAGGTTTTGACTTTGGTGTGCCCATTCTAGAGAGAAAGGGAGCATAAGGTTGTGTATTACTTACAGAGAGATAAAATCAATTTTTAGAGAGAGGTTAAATTTTGTCCAAAATCACCAGTTGGGTTCATCTTACCTGTTCACTATTTGCACCATTACATCACTAATTTCGGCTAAAATCTATGTAATTTATAACGTGCATGATTTTTACAAACTAATTTTAGAGAGTGCACGGTCTATTAACAGGTTAGGTGCGCGCACCCTCCAGCTCACCTTATTTAACTCTTTTTTCCTTTAATATCTCCTCTCTCGAGTGTCTTAGGGTTCTCTTACAAAAACCCTAAAATAGGTCACTATATCTTTCACTGCAAACTTTTCCTCCTTAGAATCTTTCTAGTGCCTTAGGTGCTTATCCAAAAACCCTAAAAACAGCCACCTATCTATTTTAGGTATTCCCTCCTTGTGGCAGCTTTCAAATCTGAGTGGGAACAGAGTTATCAAAATCGGCTCCGTTGCGGAACTTAGGCTTGGCTACTCTGAGTTAACTGGACTAGTCTCAAGTCGACTCGTTGAGTTTGCCCTAATCAGCTAAGAAATCTTGAAAAAAAAACTGAAAAATTAGAGAATGATAAAAAAAAATCATAAAAACTATATACAACATCGAGAATGATAGAAAAGAGATGTTGTTGGCTCGTACTCTCTGAAATTCCATGATAATCTAAAGTAACACTAAACTATAGTATAATTTATTTCTAGGAAATTATAAAATATATATGTATTTTTTAGATTATTAAAAGTAAACTTCAAATTTTTCAAAACTTCATTCAAACTCCTTTCCTCTACTATTTGCATTTTCTTGATGAAAATACCCTTCACAGTAGTCTTAGATCTGTGAAGATATCATAGTCTACAGAACATGATGATTTTAAAGTTCCAGTGTGCTCATAATCATCACGGTGTTTAAAATGCTGTGGTGATCAATGTTGGATATGGTGATATCCGAAATCACCCACATAAAGAAATTTCATATTATGTGGGATTGAGATTGATAAGTTTGCTAAAGGAAATAGAAATCTAAAAAGATTAGGACTCTAAAATATATCTCTTGGTTCTTGAGATACATGTAATATCTACAGGAAGTTTCTTATTTAGTGCGGTCTCCTAAGTTTATATATATGGGATGAAAGATGAAAGAATTTGTGTACCCTATTTGGGTCACCATATGGGAAATGTGGGCTCCTCTGGAGAGAGATGCAGGGCCTCCTATGCATGAGAGGAAAGGCCTCTCCTTAGAGAGAAGAGAACTTCCTATGGAGAGAAACATCATGGATGTGCCTCCTGTAAATTGAGAGGTTGGTTTCTTGTAGAGAAGCAGTTCCCATGAAGATTTTGGCTGGCTTCCCTTTTTAGTGAGAGAAAGTATCGGTTGCTATCAAGGGTATTTTCTTGGACAACGGTTTAGCTATAGAATAGAGATGAGTCTCTCCTTGGATAGTAGTTTAACTGTGGAATAGAGATGAGAGTTAAGTGAGTCATGCCGATCGGAAGGGCGGGTTTAAAAGGATTTGCTCGACTGAATTTTGTCAAGGGTTAGAGAGGTAACTCTATGTCCCAAAATTTGTGATGTAACTTTCATTGATATAGTGGATTTCAGTTTGTCGTGCCCATAGATGTAGCTCTCTTAGGGTGAGCCACGTAAATTTCTATATTATTTTGGTTTGTGTGTGTGTTTCATACCTTATTTTTTGTATTATAGCTCGTGCTCTCTCATATTTTGTTTCTAACTGGATAAGTATATCATCTTGGTGGGATCCAACTTTTAGGTTTCCTATTTCCACATCTAAGAGGTTCTTAAATCCTAACAGATCAAGGGATGCTTCACGGCCTTTTAAAGGCTGCAATATATAAGGAAAGCATCATGACACTCTACGTACAGTGATGATTTTAAAGTTCTAGCATGCTCATAACCATCTCGGTGTTTAACATACAATGATGGTCAATAGATGTATCATGATGTTTAAAAGATTGTGATGCTCTATAATCTCCAGTAACCTAATAATCATCATAGTGTTTGAAATGCCATCACGGTTCTGGGTCGACTGTGAAGGCATCATAGATCTAAGACTACCGTGAAGAGGATTTTTATAAAAAAAATACAAATAGTAGGGAAAAAAGGTATGGATGAGTTTTAAAAAAATTGAGGCTTATTTCTAATAATAATAAAAAAAAGTATATATTTTTTTATAATTTCTCTTTATTTTTCTAAGTAATGTAGTGGAAGTTCAAGTGAGTCCTGTCAAATTTCACTTCATATTAATAACCTTACGCATTATAGATTGATAATCTCGTAGATGCATTGGAGTCGAGGAAGGATCCCCACGTAAATGCCTATGTCAACATGGAGCAACATTCCCTAACCCAAAGTCGCCAAGGCTAGTCCAATTCTCATGCTCATCTCCACATGTGCTTTATATCTCCCGCCTTCGCCATCCTCTTCATAAGAGTCCCCACCAGACCCTTCTCACCTTCATCTAGCTGTCTCCTTGATGCTCCCATTTTTTTCCTCCTAATTTATCTTTGGACCTGCTTGTTCTTTGAGGACCGTCATATTAATAACAGGTT